GTCATGATTTTAATTGCTCTAAATCCTCAATGCTCAGGAGATAAAAGCCTGTTGATGTATCAGGTGTGGTCAGACCTTGTGGCTCCTAATCCACTATGCTTCTGATGCACCCTGATAATAATCAGTGATAAACTCAGAGTACCAGTTAGCGTGTCTTAGAAGGGTCTCGTGCTGTTAAATGCTCAGAGCACTAGTTTAGCATATCTTAGAAGGATCTCAAGAGCTCTCTGCACAGCTACCTTACCCACTCCTCTACCCTTCCCCTCCACACCAATAAGATCAATGAGATTATGCACATAATAAAAGTGTTTGGAGCCCAGCGCTCCGGGCCAACTTGGCTCCCATGAAATTCTACTCTTGTGTCTGTATTTCCTTTTCTCAATCCCTTGTCGGGACTAAGGGCACCCACGTACGGGGTTGGGGCTGGTACCCAACAGATAACATCCTGAAGTGTGTTTTCCAACTTGGTTCCATTCTCCCTGTCACTTTTAGGTTTGCCAATCAATCATAGGTTTGGTCTTGGGGATTCTAGGAAGCCAAGGAACCTTCCTGCCCTGCCTGCTGAAATCAACTCAAATTGGCCAAATAGACAAGTCTGACATCTTTTCTCTTTGCACTTGCATTTTTTCTTTTTAGAAGGAGTCTCACTCTGTCACCCGGGCTGGAGTGCAGTGACATGATCTCAGCTCACTGCTACCTCCATCTCCCCAGTTCAAACAATTCTCCTGCTCAGCCTCCCAAATAGGTGGGATTACAAGTGCCCGCCACCACGCCTGGCTAATTTTTGTATTTTTAGTAGAGAGAGGGTTTCACCCTGTTGGCCAGGCTAGTCTCAAACTCCTAACCTAGAGTGATCCACTCACCTCAGTCTCCAAAGTGTTGGGATTACAGGCGTGAGCCAACACGCCCAGTCCTGCCATCTGCTGTTAATTGTGGTGTTCTCAATTTTCTATGATGCATGGGTCTTATTAATTCTGATAATACTTGGCATTACCTGAAAATTTCCTTTCAACCCTGGGGAAGTTTCCCTTTTTCTTTTTCTAACTTATTTGTTCAACAATCTCACTTGTAATGTCAGAGTCTGTTCTTGTTCTCATTGTTCTATTTTCTCAAAGTATCTGTCTTATTTGTTATTTGTAACCCCTTCTTGACTCACTTTTACGTTAACAAAATGCATTAACTATTTGGTTCCGCCCGGTGCAGTCACTCATGCCTGTAATCCCAGCACTTTGGGAGGCCAAGGTGGGCAGAACCTGGGAGGGGGAGGTTGCAGTGAGCCAAGATTGTCCCAGTGCACTCTAGTCTGGGCAACAGAGTGAAACTGTCTCAAAAAAATTTTTTTTTGTTCCTCTGAATATCTGTTTTATTCTGCTTTGTCTTAGATTCTTTCTTTCTCGATGGAGGCTTTTCTTTTTTTTTATTTTATTTTATTTTATTTTATTTTTTTTTTTTGAGACGGAGTTTCACTCATGTTACCCAGGCTGGAGTGCAATGGCACGATCTCGGCTCACCGCAACCTCCGCCTCCTGGGTTCAGGCAATTCTCCTGCCTCAGCCTCCTGAGTAGCTGGGATTACAGGCACGCACCACCATGCCCAGCTAATTTTTTGTATTTTTAGTAGAGACGGGGTTTCACCGTGTTGGCCAGGATGGTCTCGATCTCTTGACCTCGTGATCCACCCGCCTCGGCCTCCCAAAGTGCTGGGATTACAGGCTTGAGCCACCGCGCCCGGCTTGAGGCTTTTCTTTTTTGAGATGGAGTCTTGCTCTGTTGCTAAGCTGGAGTGCCGTGGCTCAATCTCAGCTCACTGCAATCTCCGCCTCCTGTGTTCAAGTGAATCTCCTCCCTCAGCCTCCTAAGTAGCTGGGATTACAAGTGTGCACCACCACATCCAGCTAATTTTTGCATTTTTAGTAGAGACAGGGTTTTACCATGTTGGCCTTAATCTCCTAACCTCATAATCTGCCCACCTTGGCAGCCCAAAGTGTTGGGATTACAGGCGGGAGCCATCGCACCCAGCCAGCTTTCTTTATTTTTTGCTCCTTGCCTCCCACCCATATTGAAGAGACTATCAGAAAGCAAATGGGAATTTCCACAGACAAGTGGGGCTGCTTTAACAGTATGCTTTGCTGTAGGGTGAAGTGGGCAGGAACAAGCTATCAGGTAAAAAGCTCTGAAATGCCAGAATAAAGCAGCCCTTGCTGCAGAGCAAAACACATCAGATTCCCTAGTCCCCTGAACTATCTTTTAGCATGTGACTCCTTCCCTACTTAGTTTTTGCTGACCTACAGCCAGATACTATTGCCAGGCAGGAAAAAAAAATGGGGGAGTCCGAGTTTGATGGGCAGATCTTCAATTAACCCACTTTCCTGTCAGTCTATGGCTCTGCTGGGGGCTGCCACATCTGCTTCCACCCCTTCTCCTCACCTGTCCCTTTCCAGCCTCCCTCATTCCGTATCTTTGGCTATGCTTCCATCTGCTCTTTTTTTTTTTTTGAGACAGAATCTGGATTTTTTTGCCCAGGCTGGAGTGCAGTAGTGTCAGTGTCAGCTCACAGCAACCTCCACCTCCTGGGTTCAAGTAATTTTCCTGCCTCATCCTCCCAAGTAGCTAGGATTATGGGCACATGCCACCACACCCTGATAATTTTTTGTATTTTTAGTAGAGATGGGGTTTCACCATGTTGGCCACGCTGGCCTTGAACTCCGGACCTCAAGTGATGTGCCCATCTCAGCATCCCAAAGTGCTGGGATTACAGGCATAAACCACTGTGCCTAGCCTCCCATGTACTCTTATCCTGCTTAATTGTGCAGTAATAGCCATACACCGTGGACTTTGGGAGGCCGAGCTTAGAGGATCACTTGAGTCCAGGAGTTCAAGACCAGGCTGGGCAACATGGTGAGAGCATGTCTCTAAAAAAAAATAAAACTAGCTAAGCTTCATGGCACATGCCTGTGGTCCCAGCTACTCAGAAGGCTAGGACAGGAGGATCACTTGAGCCAGGTTGAGGCTACAGTGAGCCATAATTGTGTCACTGCATTCTAACCTGGGAGACAGAGCAACAGTCTGTGTAAAAAAATAAAAGTAAATGTGGGCTGGGCGCAGTGGCTCACGCCTGTAATCCCAGCACTTTGGGAGGCCAAGACGGGCGGATCACAAGGTCAAGAGATAGAGACCATCCTGGCCAACATAGTGAAACCCCGTCTCTACTAAAAATACAGAAAAATTAGCTGGGCATGGTGGCACACGCCTGTAGTCCCAGCTACTCAGGAGGCTGAGGCAGGTGAATTGCTTGAACGCGGGAGGCGGAGGTTGCAGGGAGCCGAGACTGCGCCACTGCACTCCAGCCTGGCGCCTGTCGACAGAGCGAGACTCTGTCTCAAACAAACAAAAAAAGTAAATGTGCAGACATGGGCTCTTTCACTCTCCTCACTGCTGTCAATTACACTTTCTTTCTTCTAGGACACATGTTGCTGAGTGGACCAACCTAAATTACATGCTTGTAATCTTCTGTGAACATACTATTTGGACTCCTGTTTTCATATCACCTGTTAAATACTTTCTATATTAATATGCTACCAGTTCTGATTACAAACCAACTGAGCAACAAAGTTAAAGCATAATGGAATCCCTGAAATATTCAGAATCCATTTTTTTGTTTGTTTTGTTTTAGAGATAGGGTGTTGCTCTGCTGCCTAGGCTGGAGTGTAGTCATGTGATCTCAGCTCACTGCAGGTGCAACTCCACCAGGCTCAAGCAGTATTTCTGCCTCAGCCTTCTGAGTAGCTGGGACTACTGGTATGAAGCACCATGCCCAGTTAACTGTATTTTTTTGTACAGATGGGATATCAACATGTTGCCTGGCCTAGTGTCAAACTACTAGACTTAAGTGATCTGCCTGCTTTGATCTCCCAAAGTGCTGGGATTACAAGCTTGGGCCATTACCACCAGCTCAGGGTCCTTTTTTTTTTTTTTTTTTTTTTTTTTTTTTTGAGACAGAGTCACTCTGTTGCCCAAGCTAGAGTGCCTGATCTCGGCTCACTGCAACCTCCCCCTCCCAGGTTCAAGCGATTCTCATGCCTCAGCCTCCTGAATAGCTGGGATAACATGCATGTGCAACCATACCTGGCTAATTTTTGTATTTTTAGTAGAGACAGAGTTTTACCATGTTGGCTAGGCTGGTCTTGAACTCCTGTCCTGAAGCGATCCGCCCATCTCAGCCTCCCAAAGATTACAGGCATAGGCCACCATCCCTGGCCGGAGTCCATTTTTTTAATTGCAAAAATAAAACCATTTTGGAATAGTTCCCAGGCTCAGGCTCCTTTGGTTTGTGTTAACTGCTGATATACATCAAAGATGGCTGGCTTTATATTTCATCACTCAACATCAACTTCCTCATACAACTGTTTAAATTTGAGTGTTCAGGGCTCTAAATCAAGAGTATCTCCCACTCCACCATCATTTCCAGGAATGCGTTATGGGGACAATATCTGATTATGCTTGGGTAGTTGTTTGCACCAGAAAGATGAGCCTAAGAGTACAGCTCCATCCGGAGTTTCCTAATTCCTGCTAACAGCTCTGATTGCAAGCTTTTCTTCGGTGGTCATAGCCATGGCTTCTCACCTAAACGCAACAGTATAGACACATTTTTATGTGCACACAAATCACCTGTGTGATTTTTTTGAGATGGAGTCCCAGTCTGTCACTCAGGCTGGAGTGCAGTGCTGCAATCTCAGCTTACTGAAACCTCCACCTCCCAGGTTCAAATGATTCTACTGCCTCAGCTTCCTGAGTAGCTGGAACTACAGGTGCAAGCCACCACAGCTGGCTAACTTTTTTTGTACTTTTAATAGAGACACTTTTGCTATGTTGGCCAGGCTGGTCTCAAACTCCTGACTTGGGGAGATCCACTCATCTCAGCTTCCCAAAGTGCAGGGATTATAGGAATGAGTCACTGTGCCCAGCCACCTGCTTGATTTTAGAAACTGCACACTCTTGAATTTTACTGCCAGATACTTTTATTTATTTGGCTAGAGTGAGCTTGGGAATACACAGTTTCAGTGCTCACTCTAGGCAATTCTTTTTTTTTTTTTAATTTGTACCTGTACATGTCAAGAAAAGGCAATTCTGATGCACATGGTCATGAAGCCCCACTCTGAGAGTCATGTTCTGGCCACCTGATTTCTAGTAAAGAGGGTCTGGCAGGAAAATTTCCCATCTTGGTTATTATCTATTATCACTCTCTCACTAGGCAGCAGTGCAGTGGCATGATCACAGCTCACTGCAACCTCCACTTCTGGAGCTCAAGTGATCCTCCCACCTCAGCTTTCTGAGTACCTGGGACTACAGGTATGCACCACCACGCTTGGCTAATTTTTGTATTTTTTGTAGAGACAGGATTTTGCCATGTTACCCAGGCTGGTCTCAAACACCTAGGCTCAAGCAATCCACCAGGCTCAGCCTCCCAAAGTGCTTGGATTACAGGTGTTGGCCACTGAGTCTGGCCCTGTCTTGGTTATTTACAGGGTTTCTCACCTGTGAGCTTTATCATATTGAATAAGGGAAGTATTATAACTGGAAAGTTTTCCACATTTGTTACATTCATAGGGCTTCTCTCCAGTATGAATTCTCTGATGCCTAGTAAGTTGACACCGCTGGCTAAAGGCTTTCTCACAGTGCTCACATTCATAGGGTTTCTCTCCAGTGTGTGTCCTCTCGTGTTTAGTAAGGGTTGAGCGATCATTGAACGCTTTCCCACAATCAATGCATTCATAGGGCTTTTCTCCAGTATGCGTTCTCTGATGTTCAATAAGTTGCGACCACTGGCTGAAGGCCTTAATACACATGTCACACTGATAGGGCTTCTCACCGACATGCGTCCTCTGGTGCACAATGAGGGGAGACCTCTGGCTGAAAGCTTTTCCACAATGACTGCATTCATAAGGTTTCTCTCCAGTGTGTGTCCGCTGATGCACAACAAGCTGAGATTGCTGCCGAAAGGATTTCCCACAGTCACTACATTTGTAGGGTTTCTCTCCAGAATGAATTCTCTGATGGGAAAGAAGGTGAGAGCTCCCTGTGAAGGCTTTCCCACACTGACTGCATTCAAAAGGTTTCTCTCCAGTGTGAGTTCTTTGATGCTCCACAAGGTGGGAGCTCCCAGTAAAGGCTTTATCACACTGATTGCATTTGTATGGCTTCTCCCCAGTATGAATTCGCAGATGCCGGATGAGCTGAGTGCTTCAAATGAAGGCTTTTTCACACCGGTTACATTCATAGGGCTTTTCTCCAGTGTGAGTTCTTTTATGAGCAACAAAGTCAGAGCTTTTGCTGAAGGACCTTCCACAGTGAGTACACTTGTACGGTTTCTCTCCAGTATGAATTCTCTGATGTACAATGAGGTTAGAGTTCCACCTGAAGGATTTTCCACATTCAATACAATGATACGGTTTTTCTCCAGTGTGAATTCGCTGATGCCTAATAAGTTTGGAACTCTGGGTAAAGGATTTCCCACACAGGCTGCACTCATGGGGTTTCTCTCCTGTGTGTGTCCTCTGATGTATAACGAGGTCATAGCTTTGGCTAAAAGATTTCCCACACTGTGTACATTCAAAGGGCTTTTCTCCAGTGTGTGTTCTCTGGTGTACAATGAGCTTAGAACAACAGCTGAAAGACTTTCCACACTGATTACACATAAATGGCTTCTCTGCAGTCTCAACGATGTTACAGTCAGAAAAAGATGAGGCCAAGGGGAAGGCAGCACAGCCTTCCTCACATCTGAAGGGGGACTCTCCAGGGTCACTTACTTCTGTTTGTACAAGGCACAGACTCTCAGAACAGGCTTCCCTGCACTCATCACATTCATACTCACTTTTTCCAAAATGCACTGGCTTGTGTTCATTCAGAGACACACTGTGACAGAAGAGGTTTCCACAATCCTTACAGTTATTACTTTTCTTTACTGAAAAAATTCTACCATGAAAACAAAGGGAGGAATCATAGTTGAGAGAGTCACTACCGACAATATATTCATAAGGGTTTTTATTTCCTGTTTCAATGTTTGCAAGTTTACTCAAGTAAATGCTCTGACAGAAGGCTCTAGCACGCTGATGATTTTCACAGTGCTTCCAATCTACTCCATTTTTCTCATGATTAATGAAAACTGAATTTCTTTTCAACTGTTTAACCTGTGAGTTGGGCTTATGGAAACCTGTACTTGTAGGTAATGTTGTAGGTAGAAGGCTTAAAGCAGAAGGTAGAGAATAACTTCCCCCACGTTCAAGCTCACAATGTTTCCTTTGAGCAAACAGTCTCTTTGAGGTGAGTACCGTCAACCTCAAGGAGTTCTCCTGGTGTTCCCTTAACTGGTTGCTCTGATCTTGCACTTTTCCTAATGACACCAAACAGGGTGGCTCCTCCTGTACACATTGTTTCACTTCCACATGGTGGGAGAGTTCATCCCACACTCGATCTTTTTCAGAATTCAACCTATTCTTTTCAAGGGTAGCCTTCCAGTCTGAAAGAAATCCAAAATGCCTGAGTTACTGGAAAAGCATCAGAGAAGGAGGGATAGATGAAGGAGACAGCTGTTGTGAGGGAGATGTCTCTGGTCTGTTTTCAAACAACAAACTGTAACCTGTATGCGGGAGTGAAATGGCATGATCTCGGCCTCAGCTTCCTGAGTAGCTGGGAATACAGGCACCTGGCACAACGCCCAGCAACTATGATCAGCAAACATGGTATCAGTGGTAAACTGCAAAATACAAGCAAACATAATAAAGAAGTGACTAAGTAGCAGTGGTCCTCAAATAAAGGGCAGAAGAATAAGAATAAGGAAGGAGGGGCCAGGCGCAGTGGCTCATGCCTGTAATCCCAGCACATTGGGAGGCTGAGGCAGGTGGATCACCTTAAGTCAGGAGTTCAAGACCAGCCTGGTCAACATGGTGAAACCCTGTCTCTATAAAAAATAAAAAAATTAGGTGGGCATGGTGGCAGGCACCTGTAGTCCCAGCTTCTCAGGAGGCTGAGGCAGGAGAATCACTTGAGCCTAGAAGGTAGAGGTTGCAGTGAACTGAGATTGGGCCACTGCATTCCAATCTGGGCGAGAGAGTGAGGCCGTGTCTAAAAAAAAAAAAAACAATAGGGAGGTAAAGACAAAAGGAGAAATCCACAGAATGAACTGGGTCTGCGGGGTATAAAGCCCTTAACCACTGCAAAAAATATGTATGTATAAGCCCCTGTACCCCTGAATGTAACCTTTTGGGAAAATGGGACGGTCCAGATGTGATTAGGAATTTATTATTATTGTTATTTACTTAGCTAACTTTCTAGAGTCAAGGTCTTGCTCTGTTGAACAGGATAGCAATGGCACAATCATAGCTCACTGCAGCCTTGAACTTCTGAGCTCATGTGATCCTCCCCCATTGGCCTCCCAAAGTCCTGGGATTACAACTGATATTACCCTTCTGTGATTAGAATTTTTATGTATTGTATCGTACTGTATTTATTTTTGAGACAGAGTCTGGGTCAGTTGCCCACGCTGGAGTGAAATAGCACAATCTCGACTAAATGCAATCTCCACCTCCCAGGTTCAAGCGATTCTCCTGCCTCAGCTTCTTGAGTAGCTGGGAATACAGGCACCTGGCATCACGCCCATCTAAAATTTTTTAAATGGGGATTTTTTTCTGGATTATCTGGGGGGCTGTAAATGCAATCACAAGTGTTCCTATAAGAGAAAGGCAGAGAGAGATTTGAAACACAGAGAAGGTGAGAAGACAGAGCAGAAGACATCTGAAGACTGCAAAAATGTGGCCTCAGCCATGGAATGTTGCAACCAACGGGAGAAGGAAGAGGCAAAAATGGGTTTTCCATTTGGAGCATCGAGAAGGAGCAGAGCCCTAGGGCACAGCACTATCGACAGCTTGATTTCAATCCAGCGACACTGATTTTGGACTTGTGGCCACCAAAACTTTTAGAGAATAAGTTTGCATTGTTTTAAGCCACCAGTCGGTGGTAAATTTTTACAGCAGCCACAGAAAACAAAAACAGACTACTAACTGGTTCTTAGTCCTAGAATATCAGTTTCTGCTCCACTTCTCATCTCATAATTCCATCTCAAACATAAACCCTGACTTCATATTCTTAATGCACCAATTCTTCCATTTCTTCAGGTTGCAAACAGAGAAAAATGATTTAACCATTCCAGAATTGGCCCAATAGACTCTCCAGAAAAGACTGCATGGTCTCTGAAGCAGCATGGTCAGCATGACTGGCTCCAACTGGGCTCCATTTGCCACTTCAACCAGGTCCATTTTCCTTAGAGGTTCATTTTCCTTGCTGTAGCCAGGAGTAAGAATATTTATCCTACAAGGATTATTTTGAGGCATCAGTGAATCACTGTGTGAGCCTCACACAGTGTCTGGCACCAACATTACAAATTATAGTTGATCTTGCCATTCTTGTTATTGTCCTGGTGAGGATTCTTCTCTGTTGAAGACATGAAGCCTCTAAAAACAAGTGGCAGAGGCTCCCAGCTCAGAATGCTTGTCCAGGTCCTAAAGATTCCCCCTCTGCTTCTCACTCTGCTCGTTATGGTTGCATGGCCACCAGGGCCAACACTACTGAGGCCTATCTTAAGTTCCCATACCTCACTCTTTGAGCACATGAGGACACAAGAATCCCTCGACAACTCAATAACTACACTCTGTGGCCATCCCTTGACTTCTGAGGGAATGTTTCCCTCCTGTCAATTAAAAGCTCTCTTCCCTCTGGGGCAAGACCTTTATATGCACCTAGCACCCCCACACTCAAGAGCCCTCACACCCAGCACCTTCACACCTGGCACCTTCATACCTGGCATCTTCACATCCAGCACCCTCACATCTGACACCCTCACACCCAGCACTCTCACACCTAGTGCTGTCCTCATCCCAACTCTGTGGTTCCTCTGGGGAGTCACCATGAAATCCCTGATGGGAGAATGTTTTCAAAAGAAACAATAGCCCAATGAAGGGTATTTGAGGATGAGAAGCAGGAAAGAAGTCCTTGGTGGCTGAGATGCATTCAGATTTTGCCTGGCCATTGAAAATCAGGTGAAGGACATTAAATATCCTGCAGTGGCAGCACCATTAGGAGCATGAAATGAGAAAAGGGGCTGTCCTCACAGACCAGCCAAGAGGGGTGTCTATGCCAAACAGAAGACTGATAGTAAACAGAATTCAGAATGACATTACTGAGGCACGGTATCAGGGCATGGCCCAGGGAAGACGGTAGATAAATAAGCATGGGTGCCCTTCAGAGGAAGAAAATAGAGGTTGCAGGCAAGAGAGTTACAAGGAAGGAGGAACAGGAAGACATGAGACAAATTCAGATAAACTCAACATCTCCATCCTGGGGGAAACATGAGAGGGTGTTGTGAAGATATACATGATGTATGTTGCTTAGTGAAAGCAGCCAGTCAGAAAAGGCTGCATAGTAAATGACCCCAACTATGGCATTCTGAAAAAGGCAAAACTATGGAGACAGGATGAAGATCAGTGGCTGCCAGTGAAGAAGGGGAATAAGGTCTGGAGGCAGGGAGCCTAAGTCCGATTCATGCTGACTTCCTAGAACTGAATCAAAAGGAAAACCTGAAATTTCCGTGTCCACCTAACAAAAGGTTCAGAGGCTACTCCCTTTGCAACACCCCCCTGCCAACCTTTCTGTTACAGATGAAAAACGGAAAGTATCTCTGATTGGTCTCCTCCTGCAACCAATCAGGCATTTGCATGGGGCATAACTTTGTAACTTCACTTCAGCCTCTGCTTGGTCACCTTCAGCAATCAATCAGACTGGTCACAGGCCACTACTTCAAAGGGTGTAAACCAAGAAACAAATGGGAAACATCCAGAGGGTATTTAAACCCCAGAAAATTCTGTAACCAGTGCTTCTGAGCCTTGCTTGAGCCTACTCCCACTCTGTGAAGTGTGTTTTTGTTTCAATACATCTATGCTTTTGTTGCTTCGTTCTTTTGTTGTTTTGTGTGTTTTGTCCAATTCTTTGTTCAAAATGCGAAGAACCTAGACACCCTCCACTGGCAACATATCTTCCTGAACCAGCCAGGAGGTAAGCTCAAAGTTTGGGATTTTTCTTCTCTTTTCGTTTTCTGTTTTCCATATAGGGGAACCCTTTTCTCTCTCTTTTTCCCTTTCCAACTTACGGACCCTTGGTGGACAGCACCTAAGCATGGAAGCAACTCTAAGTTTCTGGCTGGGGCCACTCTCTGGTGAAAATGAAAGACTTCTGTGTGGAAGTGCCTGACTACCATCACCCAGTTCCGGTGAAAGACCTGAGTCCTTTTCCCTTTTTTCTTTATCAGTCTTTCAGCTGCAGTGTCCCAGTAGCTCCCTGGTAACTGCAGGCACCTGCCCAGGGCCACCCTCCGATGTTGCTTCAAAGCCAAGGTGTAAATGGGGATAGCTACCCTGCCCAGAAGGAGAAAAGACTCTTCTGTCTTTTCTGGTTATAGTCCCTGATCCCTATCTGTGATGCAATTGGCAGCGGCAGCTCACCTGGGTGAACTCAGGCATGTTTCAGGTGACTTAAACCCTCTTTTTATATGTGAAATTCTCCCATAGGATTAGCCTGTAAGGGAAACAGATAATGTCTCTTAGGCATTTTAACTTACCTTCTCATACTCCATTTATTTGACTTCCTGAGGACCTTCGGGATCCACAAGCTTTAGTAGACATTCTACATCTTGGACCTCCACTGAGGGGATCCCATAGCTTGATGGTCATTGCTTCAGCATCAATTTGCTTGCCCTGAACCCCGTAGAAATTCTCAACCCCAGCCAGGCGTGGTGGCTCACGCTTGCAATCCCTGCCCTTTGGGGAGCCAAGGCAGGTGGATTTTCTGAGGTCAGGAGTTCGAGACCAGCCTGGCCAACATGATGAAACCCTGTCTCTACTAAAAATACAAAAAAAAAAAAAAAAATTAGCTGGGCGTGGTAGTGTATGCCTGTAATCCAGCTACTCAGGAAGCTGAGACAGGAGAATTGCTTGAACCTGGGAGATGGTGGTTGCAGGGAGCTAAGACTGCACCACTGCACTCCAGCCTGGCAACGAAGCAAGACTCCATCATACACACACACACATACACACAAAATGATGCCTCAAGATAGGTTTATGGATTGTTACAGACGTACAATATAGCATAATGGTAACAGCAGGAGAAACCGCATGTGTGTGCATAGTAGAGCAGACGTGGGAACTTTCTGTACTTTCTCCTCAACTTACCTATAAACCCAAAACTGCTCTAAAAAATGAAGTCTATTAGCCTGGGCAACATGGTGAAACTCCATTAAATACAAAAATTAAAAATACAAAAATTAGCCAGGTGTGGTGGCATGCACCTGTAGTCCAAGCTACTCGGGAGGCTGAGGCACAAGAATTGTTTGAGCCAGGGAGGTGGGGGCTACAGCGAACCAAGATGTGCCACGGCACTCCAGGCTGGGTAGCAGAGTGAAACCCTGTCTCAAAAAATATATATAATGAGCCGGGCGCGGTGGCTCACGCCTGTAATCCCAGCACTTTGGGAGGCCGAGGCGGGTGGATCACGAGGTCAAGAGATCGAGACCATCCTGGTCAACATGGTGAAACCCCATCTCTACTAAAAATACAAAAAATTAGCTGGGCATGGTGGTGCGTGCCTGTAATCCCAGCTACTCAGGAGGCTGAGGCAGGAGAATTGCCTGATCCCAGGAGGCGGAGGTTGCAGTGAGCCGAGATCGCGCCATTGCACTCCAGCCTGGGTAACAAGAGCGAAACTCTGTCTCAAAAAAAAAAAAAAAAAAAA